TTATATCACGAGAACTATGAATTTAATCGGTTAAACTAGGCTCAGTAGTTTTTTGTTTGGTTTTTGTTGGAAAATGTTGAATGCAAAATAATTTAATAAAATCACGAGACCGCGTAGCGGTCGAGGGGATTTATTTTTAATTATTTTGCATGAAACTATTCTCCAAAAAGAAAAATCAAATAAAAAAACTTACTGAGCATAGTTTGACAGATTAAATTTATAGGTCGAGTGATATACGTCTAGATTATTTCTCGAATTAAAGGAAACTATTCGACAATTCATAAAATCTGACGTATGTGTCAAAATTTATAAATATTTTTTTAAAGAAAATTCCATTAATTTAAGGTACCTATGTAATAAGTAATAATTGATATTTCGTAAACTAGATAACTTAATTTTTATTGATTTTTAAAAATGTTTGTTAAAACTTGTAAATAACACCATAAAATCGTAAACAAAAATCCAATATGGAGGCTAAAATTTAATCGCTGTTAAATAGTTCTAGTCAAAGATTATCTTAGGTTCTAGTAATTTAATCGCTTATTTAAACGAAATTTATTCGAAAATTCAAGGCTTTTGATTGGTTTATATTATAATGAGGGAAATATTCAAATAAAAATTTTGAAATTAAAATAAAGCTTGTCAATCATCCTTCTTTATTTCTGTTGTAAATCTTCCAACCAATGAGTGCACGTGCAGTCTGTCACGTGAGTTGACGGTCTATGCGCGGTTGATTAATAATTATTTGTGCGCATTGTACACGATACGACGCGTTTTCTATCCATTCTCATACGGAGTTGAAGCTCCTGAATATAATCTTTTCGTATTGTTCATCTTTTACGGGAGGAAAAAACGAAGACAATATATAAATCAGGCTTAAGTGTCAGTTATTATTTATGTAAATTCAATTTTAATCTGTACCGTAGTTGGCAACAAATTTTTATCTAAATTTATTTATTTTATTTTTTGTAAGATTTTTTTTATTATTTTTAAAATATATTTTTTTTCTCTGAGCCTTTATTTATTGCAGCAAAATTAAAGCAAATTTTTGTACTTGTGAAGAATTGTAAAGAATTTTATCTTTAAAGATTTTTTATTTTTCTGGTCTGGCAACACTGGCTTGGCTACAATGACAATTAACGCGTTTATTTTTTTATATTTTTTTACAAAGTTGGTCATCTATGGTTGGTATCTCATTCCATTTTAAAAATTGATGACATCCATAAAAAAACTGTCAACATATTTTTAACTGCGTTTCCAAAAATTAATTATCAATCATCTTCTTCTTCTATGATCTGAAGACGTCTCTGTTATCTGGTAACCAGAAAATGGGTACCGTACGTGAATTGACTTTATTTCAGCATTTTTATGTTGCATATAATTAATCCAGTCTCTAATTATAACATTAAGCGATTTGTAGCGAGTAACTAGGTCTTACCGGGTATGATCGGTTATCTGACCATTTCATTTCTGCGAGGAAGCGGTATGGTAGGGGAGGGCGTAATGACGTCATAAATTTTCGTCATTTCCGTTACCGGTCGTAACCTTGTTCAAGACGTGAGTTAGAGTTGGTTACGAAAGAAGAGGTTATGTTTATTGTTGTTGTGTTTATTTCAATTTTTAAAAATGGATAAGGAATTTATAGAAATATCCTTAAATTATGAAGGGGAGGTTTACAAAGCAATTTGTGATATGCAAACTGCTAATATTCTATTAAATGGTAAAGTTATAAACGTAATATTTCTTCTTTACCAGCATGTTTGTATCATTTTTTAATATAATATTCAGCAGTTTATCAAATGTACTTTTTTCAATCTAAATAGTTGAAAAAGACAATTTCATGATAGCTTTCTAGCCAACAAGTGTCCGGCACAAGCATTCTAAAGTGAATTTCTCTTTTAAGAATATTGCAAATTATTTTAGTCTTGTTTTCATTTAGAAGTAACAAGTTAAACATAAAATCACTAAAAAATAATTCATCTTCGTTAAATAACAACAAACATAACTTATCCATTATTTTGTTAGGTTATGTCGACATAAACAAATATTTGAACCACAGAATACCAACCGCGTTTTAGCGAACTTAACCGCTACGTCATTCAGCGGATGACGACACAATTTTTAAGTGGGGGACATACCAACCGTAACCAGCAAGGTTAGTCGCTACAAATCGCTTATTGGCATTTAATTTTGTAATATAAAAAAACACTGCGCCTGAATTTAAATAAACTGCTCGTCATAAAAATCGACGCACCTAGTTTTTTGGAAAATACTTGAAAGCTCGTTATTGGAAAATTACTGAATCGATTTTGAAAATCTTTGGAAATTCTGAATAGCTGATTCTTTGACTCTTATGTCTAATTTTGGGAATACGATATTTTGCACATAGCATTATACTACAGGGTGTTAATTAAACGAAGAGATGTATTTTTTCCGAAATTTCGAGTTATTTCCATTCATGAGGCAGTTGAGTTTGATAGTCGTAATATAAGTAAGGTAATCCCTCGAAACGTTTTCGAGATTTTGTGAATATCGCGGCTTACTACGATTATATGCCAATTTTTCGAAAATTGTCGTTATTTCCCAGTTTAGTCCAAAAAATGAGCAATAGTGGATTCTTTGACTTACGTCTAATTTTGAGAAAACGATATTGTGCACATAGCATTATACTACAGGGTGTTAAAAAAGGGATGTTTTTTTTCAAAATTTCAAATCTCCATTCACAGGGCAGTTGAGCTTGATAGTAGTACTAGGGGTATTACTTAATACCCCTTCCTAATAACTGTTAGGTTATCCCTCGGGACGTTTTCGAAATTTTGTGGATATCTTGGCTAACTACGATTATATGGCAATTTTTCGAAAATTCACTTTATTCTTCATTTTAGTCCAAAAAATGAGCAATAATTGATTCTTTGACTCTTATGTCTAATTTTGGAAATACGATTTTGTGCACATAGCATGATACTACAGGGTGTTAGAAAAGGAGATGTTTTTTTTTCAAAATTCCAAATCCCCATTCACAGAGCAATTGAGCTTGATAGTCCTAATCCCTCGGGTCGTTTCGAGATTTTAGGGATATCTTGGCTACCTACGATTATATGCAATTTTTTGAAAATTGTCGTTATTCTCCACTTAATTTCCAAAAATGAGCAAACTACGAAAGGTGTGGATTGATTATCAACACATCGTTTCCCCTATTTGCATGTTCTTGTGCCCAACTTCTTCTAGCAGAAAAAGAGGGCAGGCAGCTCTTCGTCTTGCGTGGTATGCAACCTAACATCCGTCATTTTATTTTTTTAAATGTGCTTTGCTGTTTTTCATATTCGATGACAAACATGACAAGAATAATTGAAGGGAGGAAACTCAAAACGAGATATGCACCATATTTTTGAAACTTTCATGGTCAAGCGTTTGTAGAAAATTGCATGAATATAGCCTGCATAAGTTTACGAGAATAATTTTGTTTGGTTTGCGTTTTTATTTTGAGTTTCACCGAAAAAAATTGATTTTGTGTGAAACATTTCACTTTAAATAAATCACGCAACGCACATAAACTGGAAGGAAGTGACCTACCTTAAAACGCTGTGTTGATACCTTCCATAGTTTGCTCATTTTTGGGACTTAAGTGAAGAATAACAGGAATTTTCGAAAAATTGCCATATAATCGTAGTTATCCACAAAATCTCGAAAATGGATTACCTGTTATTAGGCAGGGGTATTATGACTATCAAGATCAACTGCCCTGTTATTGGTGATTTGGAATTTTGGAAAAAACATCTCTTTTTTGAACACCCTTTAGTATAATGCTATGTATTCCCAAAATTAGACGTAAGTCAAAGAATCCACTATTGCTCATTTTTTGGACAACTGGGGAATAACGACGATTTTCGAAAAATTGGCATATAGGAAATCATAGTTAGCCAAGATATCCACAAAATCTCGAAAATGTCCCGAGGGATTACCTAACTGTTATTAGGAAGGGGTATTAGGACTATCAAGCTTAACTGCCCTGTGAATGGGGATTTGGAATTTTGGAAAAAAAACATTTTTTTTAACACCCTGTAGTATCATGCTATGTGCATAATATTGTATTCCCAAAATTAGACATAAGAGTAAAAAAAATCAACTATTGCTGATTTTTTGGACTAAAATGAAGAATAACGTGAATTTTCGAAAAATTGCCGTATAATCGTGGTTAGCCAAGATATCCACAAAATCTCGAAAACCTCTCGAGGGATTACCTAACTGTTATTAGGTAGGGGTATTACGACTATCAAGCTCAAGAATGGGGATTTGAAATTTTGGAAAAAAACAACTCTTTTTTTCAGTCAAAAAATCAACTATTGCTCATTTTTTGGACTAAAATGGAGAATAACGTGAATTTTCGAAAAATTGCCGTATAATCGTAGTTAGCCAAGATATATCCACAAAATCTCGAAAATGTCACGAGGGATTACCTAACTGTTATTAGGGAGGAGTATTAGGACTATCAAGATCAACTGCCCTGTGAATGCATTCACCATGGTGATTTGGAATTTTGCTATGTGCACAATATCTTATTCTCAAAATTAGACGGAAGTCAAAGAATCCACTATTGCTCATTTTTTGGACTGAACTGGGAAATAACGACAATTTTCGAAAAATTGGCATATAATCGTAGTAAGCCTTGATATTCACAAAATCTCGAAAACGTTCCGAGGGATTACCTTACTTATATTAAAGAGGGATTTTACGACTCAACTGCCTCATGAATGGGAATAATTTGAAATTTCGGAAAAAATACATCTCTTCGTTTAACACCCTGTAGTATAATGCTATATGCAAAATATCGTATTCCTAAAATTAGACATAAGAGTCAAAGTATCAGCTATTCAGAATTTCCAAAGATTTTCAAAATCGATTAAGTAATTTTCCAATAACGAGCTTTAAAATATTTTCCAAAAAACTAGGTGCGTCGATTTTTATGACGAGCAGTTTAGTAAAATTAATTAATTACTTACTTTAACATCCGTCCCGTCAGTTGGCATAAAATCTTCGTAAATAAAACTGCCAGTTTTCCTAACTCTCGATTCTGGGGAATAAACGCTGCTACGACTGCCTATCTGAGAATAATAAAAACCCTTTAATTATTTTTGATTTATTTGCGCACTTCTGTACACACTTATTCTGAAAATATAAGACTAAAACTACAAACAAACTAAAAAAAACTTGTCTTGTCTTTGTTTTGGTACAGGTACAAAAAATAAATCAAATTAATAGGTAATTGATAAACAATATAAGTACATTAGATGCACAACTCTGTATTTGCAGGATAAGTGATTTTAAGAAAAACACGAAAAACCGCTCATAAGATCATTTTTGAAAACAAAAATGCAAAAATTGTATAGACATGCTTTTGCATGATTTCTTATTCACAAAAGTAAAAGAAAATCCTTTAAAATTAAGTAGTTTAGTAAATAATTGAAATAAAAAGATTTAAAAACATAGTTTTGCATCTTACTCGTTCAAAGACCAAGTTTTGCAAGTGAAAAGTGCAAATACAAAAAAATAACAATTAATCAGGTGATTGTTATGTCGTCACGTAATGCGTATACTAACGACGTGATTGGTCTATAGACTGTATACAGCAAATACCGAGTTTTGCATCCGACAGGAAGAAACAAATACCCAGTTTTGCATCTGCGTTAAGTTTATAAATGTATTTTATTCTACAAATATTAACTTATGCATCTGGTTTACTTAGGTATGCTTTGAGCAGTCCAGTTATAAATATGATAAAATATATATTTTTAAAAAATTTGCAAAAACCGAGTTTTGCATCTAATGTACTCATATATAGAATGGTTAAAATGTGCAATTTAGAAAAACATATTTATAAATAGAACCGAGTTTTGCATCTAATGTACTCATATATAGAATGGTTAAAATGTGCAATTTAGAAAAACATATTTATAAATAGAACATTCTAGTTACATATTGAATAAAAGCGTATCCCTGCTTAAAATACCCCATAGAGACCTATAAAAATAATCTATCGGGCGCTAACGGACTCAATATGTACATTTGTCCATGCTTTTTCCGGATACGGCCCGATAGAAAATGTATAGGAAATTTCCCCTATTGAAACCGATAGCAAATAACTCAAGGAAGGATATATAGGGATATCCCTACAGAGCATCCATAAAACATTTCACAAAATTTAGTTAAAACCTTGGGGTCCTATGGGAGAAAAACTAATTTCCACATTTATGTGTATTTTCCCTATTGAGACCGATAGCAAATAAATCAAGGAAGGTCATCCCTATAGAACAACCATAAATCCCATTCCATCTATAGAAACACCATACAATCCGATAAAAAAATCTATCGGTTTGAACCCCTAGTGGCAATTTTGTCAAAGACTTGGGCCAGAATGGGTCAAGATACTTTGTACAGATTTTTTATCAAGAATCGGACAAGAATTGTTCCAGATTCTTGGCCAAGATAATTGGGCAATACTTTGTACAGATTTTTTATCAAGAATGGGACAAGAATTGTTCCAGATTCTTGGCCAAGATTATTGGGCAAGACTTGAGCCAGACTGTGGCCAAAATTTTGACAAGAATTTGACCAGAAATCTATAGAGTAGAGGTTCTCATTCTACAGTAGCATCAGGAGAGAAAGGAAGGAAGGCAATCTATAAATCAGGCTTTTGTCAATTTCCCCTATTAGGTTCGGGCTCCTTGTGTAGGCTTCATGGTTTTGAGTATGAGTATAAGAACGTATGGCAGGCCCCATCGGCCACGCCTTACACTGATCTTCCAGGGTTATTTTAGCGTTACCTGTGTTTGGTGGATCCGAATTTTCGCCTCCCTAGAGGTCGTGGATGACAGTGTCGATGGTTAAGGCTATTCAAAGAATATCTTCGACGGGCCGACCATACGCCAGATTTAGGCTAGTGGAGTGTAGGACTAGGAGGGGCAAAAGTTGGTTTTTGGGGGCCTTGAACTGACCCAAAACTAAGTACAATCCGGACTCCCCCTCAACCAGGGTATTAGTAATGACCCCATTCAATTGGGGTTTATGAATGAGGCTTGGGTTATGAGTACGTTGCTTGGACATCCTTGCTGGACTTATATTTCATCTGGGTCTCTGTCCGGGTCTGCCGGAATTCGGAATCTGCTGCGCGCAGTTGTTTACCCCACTGGGGTGTTGTTACTTTCCCCACATTCTTAGAATCTTTTTGTATAATATGTATAATAATACATTAATTTTAACAATAAAATAAATTTAATAATATACAAAAAGATTCTAAGAATGTGGGGAAAGTAACAATTTTTATTTTGTACCAAGTTTGTATTTTATATAATTAATAATAGGATAAAGCCGGCCCTGTGGTGTTTTAAAATTTGGAATAGGACCCTAATGGCAGGCGTGTAGCGATGTTGCTTTATTTTAATAGATGGTTTGTTTAGGTTAGTCTTCTTCCGTGCTCGTTTTGTTTATTAAGAGACTGTTTATTTTACTTTCGTTATCTTTTAAAAGCTTTCATTATATAATACAATAATTATAATATAATATTGTGACTTTCTTACTTGATTTGGTTTTTTTACACTCATACGCTGTTATTGATATTGATTAATTATTGACAGGTTTTTGTTACAGATTTGCGTATTAGGTCATGCATTGATACTTATCAGATTCTGCCGATGATAGCCCCTTCCACTCTTGGTTAGACTCGTTTTTACTTTAAATAGGTGATTCCTTGACCTGTCCCCTGTCACTTTATTACTTCCGTGTCTGCACGGACCTCACCCCTGTGTTCACCCGTTGAGAGATTGCCTTTTGATGAATTATTTTATATTTCTATTAAGCCTTCGGAGAACAGGTACCCTGATTTCACCTGTACAGGTATGTAGTAAACCAAACTAGTAGCACTGTTTCGCATCGCACTTTACTCGACTACACTGTATATTTGAGATTTTTATGTTTCTTTAAGAATTTTATTGTGGATAGGTACTAAGAGCGCTCGAACTCAAACGTCTACTCTCTTCCCCGTCTAATTTGAAACTGCTTGTGTAGGCTTTATGGTTTTGATTGTCAAATTCTTTCGCATTATCTTTGTCATTGTTGGAGTGATATTAATATCTCATGGCGGTTGACCTTGAGAGTCGCTGCGAGAGGCGGTGCAATTTAATAAATAAATGGAAACTAAAAACATACTCTGCTTCCCAAATCTGTCATCTGTCAACTAATACAGTAAAGCGTTTTTTTCTTTATTTTATGAAATATATTATATCATAAGATAATGACTGCAATTGAAGACCCTGCTGCAAAAAGAAGGTAACTCCATAAAAGTTAGGCAGAATAGTCCAGTTCGCAGTTTAGGGTGTAAAAGTTACTTTTGTAAAAGTTACTAAACTAAATTCGAAAGAAAAACGGGTATCAATCAGTAAAAGTAAAAAATCAGAGGAAGCGTCACATACGAAACTTTTGATGATTTTCTCTCGTTGGTCGAAAACTCCATGTCTTCAGTTTCTAATATACTTATATTTAGTTCATAATTTGTTCATTGGCATATTCTTATTATTGGAATATGATATTTTACTAAAAATCGATAGGCTTAAGATGAAAACTTGTAAGCTATAATTTTAATATATTTGTTTATGTACAAAGTGTTTCACTTTTCAGTCATGTCGTAAGCTGTAACATAATATTTTTTTTTGTTTCTAAAAATGTTTGGGAACGCCATGAAAAAAATACCATTATAATAATAAAATTTTAATGCTAAATTTCTATTAACATAAATCGTAACAACATAAGACTTCGCTTTTATTATTTGTGTCCCATATGGGAGTTTTTCAAAGTTTTTTTACTATACTCGCTTTTATATTAGCATATGCTAATATAAAAGCGAGTATAGTAAAAAACTTTGAAAAACTCTTTTAGACTAGGGCGGCAAATTTTGACTTGCACCCGGGCGTCAAATGTGTATGAGCCGGCCCTGCAAATGGGGGCAATCAATTTTGAAAGCTTCAAAAAAGGCTTTTAAAGTTGGTCGTTGTTTATGTGTTGGCGAAAATCTATAGATAATAGTTCAAATAATGGAGATCGTATAACAAATAAAATTTATATAAATTATATTATAATATTATAACAAATATATTAGAATTTCTAGCCTAGAAATGTCGAAATATTTCAATAAATATATGCATTGCCAATTGCTAATTGCGATTTGACGGATTTGCGACTTCTGCGCATCGAAGGTCACCCGCCATGAGATATTAATTGCACTCTATAACAAGTGTTAAGAGTTAATTTATATAAACGTTATAGAATTGTTTTCTTAACCCGTGAATCTAAAAACAATTGTGGTATACTATTAATCGGATCCGCGAAACGAATCCGTTGGAACGGATCCGGACCGCCCATCTCTAATTCTGATAGAAATGGTCCTGCATTCAGTTGCTTCAGCTGAAGCGTTACCCGATTCTGTCAAAAACCTGAACTAGAAAAATGACACTATCAACAATAATTAAGTAGGTAGTTACGTTAACGTCAAATTGTAAATTTTTCTAATTAATCCTTGTGTGACAAGGGGGTCTAACGGAAACATTAATTTTCGTTGTAATTTTGAAAATAAATTTATTTGAGCAATGCCCATTTTCCAGTGCTCTTTTTTCCTTGTTATACATAAAAAATACTTTATTAATATATTTCTAGGCATATCTAATTTAGATATTTTTGGCTTGGTATTCTTAGGTAGCTTTTTGCACAACTTTAAATTCTTTAAATAAAATTAAAAAAAGAACAGAAGTAATAATTTTATATTACAATGTTAAAAAAGGATCTGTTGCAGGTAAGATTATTTTTTGAAAAGTAAGATCTCTATTTATCTATAACTATAGTTATAGACAGCGCTCGATCACATACTTCTACACATATACAAATACTTTCTAACTGAGAGACTGATTCTATTTCGTGGGGTAAGGGAAGTGAGATCCACCCGGGAGATTGAATTGAGGCGGATGCGTGGCTGCATTGCTGGTTTTAGAAAAATACCACATTCTTTTTAATAAATTGTATAAAAAACATAATAAACACACAAAATGATGATATTTTA